TAGGATTCAAAACTTATCTTGTCCCATCACACTTACCTGACTGTTCTTGAACTACACTTCCCCTCACTCCTGCCTTTTTTAGCACATCTATGTCATAGGACTATGAGTGAACCACCATCTATGTTGATGAATCTCAAAATGCCACATCTCAATCTGATGTCATTCTACAAGGCTCTTTTGATCTCTATTATGGTGGTGCAGATTTGATTCAGTTAAGATGAGACTAAAGAAAAGGCTTAACGTTCCTTTCATGTAGAGAACATTTGTTGATCATGTCAGGCACTGCAAAACTCTTGTCCCTGACAGTCTCAATTCCCACAGCTCTGGGACATTAGAGGACATAGATGTGTATGAATTGGGGAGTCTAACCCCAGGGTTGGGATGTGGCATACATGATACAGTGTTTTACTTAGTCCTGGGTTTGGCTACTAGCACTGCACAAAAAAAGAAAACAATTGCTGAGAAGATTAATCACAAATCTGATTGGAACTCATATAAAGATACCTGTAACTAGGCTTGCACATATGACTGAACATTCCTTTATTTCATACTAGAGTAGGATGCATTAGGGTAGGATGTGTTTCCCTTTGTCTGAGCTACTTATGTGGAAGTGACTGGAACTAATGTATCAAAGGTGTTGGACCCTATTGATACGGCTTTACTTACTGAACCAAGGCAGAAAGCTAAACTTATTCTATAGCACTAATACTAAACTTATTTATAGCAATAATCAAACCAAGTGGAGAAAAATCATCATTAAAATGATCTTTAAATATGCATAGACCATGATTGATTTATAATTATCCCCCAAAGCAAAATTTAAACATCTGTACACATAGAGTTCAAGTGAAGTGTCTCTAAAGCAACCTTCATCTGTTTATCTGATTTCATGCCTTATTAAGTACTAAAAAAGAAGAAAGGAATAGTTACTAAGGAGATTAACAATAAGAAAATACTGCTCTAGCAAAGAAGTATTTCTAAAGCATCATCAATACAGGATGCTGATGGGACCAAATGATCCAGAAAGCTTTTAAAGCCACTCAGTAAAGAGCAATCTCCTATTACTGAAGAAAACTGCATCATCCTCCAATTCCTCTCCTGGGAGACGCGCACACACGTGCACGCACACACACACACACACACACACACACACACACACACACACACACACCTCACTTTCATTACTACCAAAGACTTTTTGAAAGCCAAAGTCAGGTGAGTTTCTAGTCTGTAGACACTTTTTTTTTTGTTTGAAAATCATCTGGATAGAAGGTATGTATTTCTTCTAGGGAATTAGAGTAAAAGAAAAAAATCACAAGAACAATGTTTGTATGGTGTGTTGTGGTGGCAGCTGCCAGGTGTTTGGTTGTGTTCTCCCATTTGGACCTTGGACATTTCCCATCAAGGTGGATGGTTTCATCCCAGGTGGGCACAGAATGTACTCGCTGAGCAAATGAGGATCCAGGAACTGAATTCCAACCCCAACACTTATTCCATCTCCTCTTCCTACCTCTTCAAAGCAGTGGCTTCATGAAAGCCTTGTAAGCCTCTGTAAGTCTCTGAATGGTTTATGAAGCTCTGAACTTTAGCCTAGCATTTAGTAGGCAGTGTCTTGCAAGGTCTAAAAAGAAATTGGAGATATTCACACACTTGTCCTCTTCCATGAAAGTACGTTCCATCTTTGACTCACAAACCCACAGTTCATTGTTAAATATCTGCTTGAGCCTCTAGGGGTTGAATTAGATGTTAGGCTTATAGTTGTGAACAGGCATGGTCCTCATCTTCATCATGCTTCTTTACTCAATGTCATTAGGCACTTTCTGAAAACACATGGAAAAGGATTCTCTATAGAGAAGGAGACTCCTTGTTTAGCCTGGATGCCACTGGAGACTACTCAGAGAGGGATATTGGGCACCATTTTAAAGGATGAACAGGTCTTAGGTATGTAAGAGGGGGAACAACACAGCCCAACATAAAAAGCATGCAAGGGGCCCTTAATACACAACTATTAAGCATAGTGCCTTGAGAAGCGGGGCAGAAGGAAAAGATCCAGGGTAGTGGCAAGACTTTTAGAACACATGGCTGTATGGCAGAACCACTGTCTGAGACATGACGTGGAAGCGAAGGGGTAGAGGATGGATGTTCTCTTCCCATTCCACAGCCCTTGGCAAAGGTCAGGGCTAGAGGGTTAATATTTAAAGTAGGTCTCTCTGACCTTACCCATCCCTTATTGCATATCCAGTTTCTCAGTAGGAGACACCAGACCTACGTGAGACCTGTTTGTTTTCCTTCGCCAGATACTTCAGTACAGGAAGACTGAAAGTCTGGGTCAGTTGGCAGAGAGGACCTAAGCTATTTTCAGAAAAAGATTTCCCTTTGCAGCTGGTGTGTGGCAAGGTGTTTGTGCACCAGCCAGTCTGACAAGAACACAGCAGCCATGATTAGTAATATAAATCCATACCAAAGCAAGAAGCAAAGGAAGGAAGCCAAATGGAAAATGAATAGCCCCAAACATTCTATATTATTATGTATAAAAGAAGGGAGACCTTAACCAACTACCTTCTAGCACTTAGGTGTTGGGCTGTTGGACTCTGTGAAATGCTATTCTTACAGTAAACTTTTGCCATTTCAAGGGGTTTTTGTTTTTTACATGCAAATGATTGGCTATGAAAGTAGGAATAAAAAATGTTTAGATGTAACTCTGAGGGTCTTTGTGGAGGCAGGGGCATTAGGTGGTGTCAATACACATATGGAACAATCAGTCTTGGCTTCCACACCTTCCTATTTTCTCCATTTTTAAGCTTGTCTCCCATTTTACCCCTTCTTTTTGCCAGATGCTGTGAAGAATGAGATATATCATGAAGCACAGGCAATTCCCTTAAATAGAATCCATGAAAAGATGGAAATGCGATTCTGTGTCATCACTATATCTGAAACACAGTTATGAAGATCTGATAGATACATGGGAAAAAGAAAAGGCCTATGCATTTAGAAGGTATCAACCATCTTTCAATGCTACAGGTAGGGAGTTAAAAGAGGACATCCTAATGAACGCAGGGACATTATGGAAAACAAGGCTGGAGAAATAGCTGTGACCAGTGCCTTCCAGGTGCTTCCATTCTGTCTGGCACTTCAGTGCTAACAAGAGCAGCATGAGAAAGGATTATTATCTCTCTCTTGAGACAGTGGTGCTAATCGTACTTCTCCCTAATCACACTTCTGTGACAGAAGGGACTGCTGCATTCAGCAGCTTCCTGTTGGAGGGAGTAGCTGAGAACTCATGGTTTTACTTCTCCTCCTTGGAGCCCCTTCAATGGGAAAGTTCTAGCAATCAATCAACAATCACCTGTGGGCAGAAAGAAGGGAATGAAGCCACCTTAAAAATGAATTTGTGTTTTCTGAAACACCATTCAATCTAGGAAGGACAATAGAGCTGATTTCTTGCCTAAGATTCCTCCCTCCACTTTTTTTGCTCACTATCCCAAACAGAAGTTACAACATGAAGGAATTGGGGTTCTAACACTGGAATATACTGCTCATAAAAGGGATTCCTAAATCTCTGATACACTTACCAAGAAAAAAAAAAGACAGGGGAAAATATCTTCTTTGCAGGACTTCCATAAGAACTAAGTAGGATGATAAGGTAAAGGATTAATGCAAATGATAAATGACCAACCACTGTTTGCTTGGTCATTGTAGATTATTTCTGCTGTGCATGTGGACAGTCTCACCTCTGCATGACAGTAAACTGATGAAATGCATTTGCTGTGAAATGATGCTATGATAGGTACTGTGAGTTTCAAAAGGACAGACTGCCCAGACCTTGTGGCCACATAAGCTGTCAGGAGCTGCCAACCAAGGCTTCTCTTACCTGCAGTCCCTCCCCAATTTTGAATTAGTACCACATTCCTATGTGGAGTTCTCTAAGTACACAGTTTTGTTTTGCTCCAATGAAATCCAGACACAGAAGCATTACACTATGTAAAACCCAGTGTAGAAGCACAAACAGAAGAGCACCTCTGCCTGGAGCAGTCAAGTTAAAGCAATAACATCAAAACTCAAAAAAAAAAACCCACAAAAACCCCTGTGACTGGACAGAGGCATAATCTGTACAGCATTGCTCACATAATAAATTTCATCCTTTTTGTAAGGTCCGCTCCTGGATGGCTAGCAGACTCCACCCTCCTCGCAGCAAAGTCTCCACCCAGTACCTGCGTTACCTAGGCAACTGGGACACCTGGAAGAGGTCACATCTGCATCCGCTGAGGTCACATCCAAATTTGATGTGGCCACACCTTTCCCCACCCATACCCTACATAAGGCCTAGCCCAGGCCCAGATGCTCTCTTGCTCTTGCTGCTCTTTTCTTGCTCTCTCTGTTCTATTCTAGCTCTCTCTCTCTGTTCTTTTCTTGCTCTCTTTCCCAGCCACGTGGAGTGCCAACCTTGCCTGGTCCCAGCAGGTCTACCCCTTACCTGAATACCACATGAGTGCTACTGTTCTTACCCCTCTCTCTGCTCTTTTCTGGCTCTTTTCTCTCTCTTTCCTCTCTTCCCAGCTCTCTCTCATTCCCAGGCCTTTCCCAGCCACGTGGAGTGCCAACCTTGCCTGGTCCCAGCAGGTCTACTGAGTAAACCTACCCCTTACCTGAATACCACGTGCGTGCTGGTGCAGTTCTTAATCGAATACCTCTTTTAAAAACCTAACACTTTTCAGGCTAATACGAATTGTCCTGGGAAGTTTAAGATGCTAAACTACTTTTTTATTTCCTTAAGAATATGTATGTATGTATGTATAGTGTCATTTTAAAACTGTACTTGATCAGTACAAAGAACAGAACATTTGATCCTTAAATCTTACAAATATTACCACTTGATATAAAAATATATTCTTTTCTAGAAAACAAAAAGTTTCCAATGAAAAATGTACTAAAAGCATGAAAAATAAAAAGAAAGAAAGATTATGATTTGTCTTTAAAATACTTTAAAATTAGTACGTCACCTCTGTTTTAATACTCTTTGGTCAATTAGTCCATTATCAAGGCTTTTGGCTGGGTAGGGAAATGGTACCATCTCCCTATGGCTGGCAGGACTGTAAGATTGTTCATTCCTGGAACCAAAAGAAAAGTTGGGTCAGAAGTCACTGAATAGGAGCTATCACTGTTATCTCACAATGCCACTGCTGGTACACATAGTCAATAACGTGGTCATCATCTATGTCCAAATTCACGTGACATGACTCAGAACTGAGAGGAAGCCCTTCTGGATTCTCTCAGTGGGTCCTACTTTCTAGGAAGGAGATGGTTGCAACTTACCATGCTGTTTTCACCAGGCTGGAGTATTTTTAAATAGTACTAAGGAACCCCTTACATTTATAAAATGACGATGATTCTCTTAGTGAACATTATAAAATAAAATGGTTAATGGTGTTAGACCCTGCTTCAACTCATTGCTGTTTTGAGGGGTCATTTATTGTCTATAAAAATCTTCCATCTTACAACTACACTCCTTTTATTTTCCAAGGGGTGCAACTGAAGCTCAGAAGGGAAAGTCACTTTTTACTAACTTGGTGATAATTCCAGAATTCTTACTCATTATTTTTTTCAATTTCTAGTCCAGTGATATTCTACCAGATTTGTGATTTTTTGAGTCACAAGGCATCTGCAAATGCTTTCATCAATTTCATATTCCTATCATTTGCCTCATTGTGACTAGATTGTCAAATATCTGTCCAGACATGGGCCACAAATCTTTTATAAGTTAACATACCGAGAAAGTATTGCCCTGTCATTTGCCAAGTTCTGGATGGATTGTCACATATTGTGTCCAGATATGGGTCACAAATCCTTTACAAATTAACATACCAGGAAGCTACCAGCCCTTGGATGGAATTTTTCTTAAGTATAAAACTTTCTGTTATCTCTGATCAAGATTGTCATTCAGAAGAGCCAAAAAAAGAATCATTTATTTGACCCACTTTATTTTACAGTCAAAGGAGCTAAAACTTTGAAAAAGATGAAACAAACGGCTAAGGTTAGATGAGTAGAAGACGTAGGACAGGTTTGAAATCAGGTGTTTTGATACTTAGTTTTAGAGATCTTTCTTATACCTAGTTTCCTGCTTCTGAGAAGCATTTTCTACAAAGGTTTAACCAACTAGTATATTTCTATACCTCCCTACTTTAATTTGCACTTGACAATAATGGCAATAGATTTGTCAATAAGCAAATATAGCTAACAAGCAGTATCTTCTCACATGCAATTGTGAATTGTTGTGTGCCAGAATAATTTAACCTAAATATAAGACAACACCGTTGTCTTACAGTGGGTCACCTGCTTACTGAGTAAAGTAGCAAGCTTTCACTCATAAGCCCTGTACAAGCAGCCATTCTGCCTTGCCTAAAACTGAAACTAGTAGACCATAGTAACAAAAGTTCCTAATTAACAAGGACTGTTTAGGACTGGTATCAGGAGGAGAGATTTGCTGAAAGATTATGCTACTCCCTTAGGTTGGTGTGAATTAACAAGGTGCTAGGTACAGAAATGCCATCATTTAATTTAATCAGTCCAAGGCAGTGGTAGAACCAGGAATGAAGCCCAGATTTCCTGGCAGCTGAGTCAGTTCTTGTTTACTAGAGAACATCATAAAGTGATTTGTCGTGGAAACAGGCCTCCTGTTTCCTTCTGAACTGTGCCCAAGGCAATATCAGGATTCCAGTCAGCTAAGAGGGACTTCCAGCTTAAAAGTTCTCATCATCCAAAATGTCCACAAATTACTCTGCACTGTCTTTGAAGTTTGTAGCCTCCCGTTTGCTAAAAAGGAGTAAATATTTGTTGTGGGAACTTCACCATGAGTCACAAGTTCAAGATTATGCCAGAACAATGTTCAGGATACATTTTCAAATATGTCACTTGAGAAATTTTCCAGTCTAACTATAAACCAGCCCTTCAAGGATACATGTCCTGAATATTTAATTCTAGGAATCAAATTACTTTAGGCAAATCGAACATTACATTCCTTATCAGAGAGAACTACACATACGATTCCAGCTCTCATTTCAAAATAGTATAAAGTAGAAGGAATACTATAAAACATCACTCTTATTTTTTCATTAAAGAATAATTTATCTGCAACAAATATTGCATCTTAAGTCTTTTAAATATGGAAACAGCAAATCAGAATATTTGAAAGGATTCCTGGGCATAGATTTGTAAAATGAAATTTTTACAAATACATTCTACTATCATTCTTTTGCATTACTTAGTAATGTAAAAAAATAAAAATAAAAAGACCGAAGGAAAAGATCCACTCTAAAATCTCAGAGCGTTCATCTCATACCAAAAATTTTCTGCATATTTCTTTGAGGTCACATTCTTTTTTTAAAAGGATGTCTCTTAAAGAATTAAAAGCTTCATAGTGGCAAAGGTGATTAGTAAATTATATTGTGAGGACTTGGAGCGGGAAGGAGAAATGAGTTACTATAGACTTCTAAACAAATAAATATACAAATATATAAATAAGTAGGTCGTTTTGGACACAGCAAAAGGAGCAGCAGACACAGATGCCTTTGCAAATACTATCTTAAAAACAAAAAACCTGAGCTACAGAAGTTCCTACCTATACCTTACATCTTCTCTGCTTGATCCCTAGCATTTTGTGTGGGAACTCAAAGTTCCTTACAGAAGGACTTCCCTGATCATTGGAGTCAATGTTTAAAGATTCTTTACAGGTTACCTTTTATTCAAAATACTAGAAAGGCTGGACACACAGTCTTGTGGTAAAGCCTCAGTGTACAAAGATCTTTGAACTCCAAATGTGACGTTCTAACCCCTCTGGAGGCTACACAGTATCAAAACAAGCAGCCAGTTAGGAGCATACTTACTCTGGGGCTGCATCAGTTGAGGTTACCAAGGCTGACTCTCCCAGGCTTCCAGAAGACTCTAGGTTTTTACTGCTCTGCTTGTACTTTTTGATTAAATCCATCAGAACAGCTTGGTGTCCAATTTTCTTCACCAGTTGTTGAACCATCCTATCATTAAGTGCTAGAAGAGCAGCTCCACTTACTTCTTCCTCTGGGAAAAAGAAAAATGATTTGGTTTATAGGAATTCCCAGTAAAAATACAGGCACTGCTAAAGCATTTCTGGGGCTCAAAGGGCCATCTAAACTTGTCTTCTGCTGTAAGAAATTCATCTCTATTTTTGACAAAGATAGAACTCTGATACTGCAAATTCCAAATTAACTTCTGCTTCTAACAAAATACTAGAACAAGGAGGCACAATCAAAACCTTATTTGCCCATTAATACCCACCCCCATTCCTATTAAAGCAGGTATTATCTTTATGAGGCCAAAGGAAAAAAAAAGAAAATCTTGGGAAATTATTCTTATCTCCCAGCCAATATCTAATGCTTGTAAATCAAACATTGCTCAAAATACATACTAGATTATAAGTGACAAAAGCAACAGAAAGTTGGTATAAGACAATGTGCCAACAAAAAATGGTATACAGTATAAATATATCCATATATATATGGAAAAAAACAACATAAAATTGATATGTATTTTAAGTTAACTCTTAGACTGAGTTCTTGAAATATGCAATATAGAAACTGCCAGTCAATAGAGAAGTGAAAATATCTCTGCTCCAATAACCCTATATCCCCACTCACATATGCAGACATTAGACAACAAAATTAATTTTCACAGCAGAAGACACTCATAATATCTGGGGTGGTCAGACAAATTTTTTTAAAAAAGTAAAAACAACTCACCTTGAAACCTAGGAATTAGCTCTCCTAAGTTTTTCTCCACTAACCAACTGCAGACCTGCTCAACTGACCAAGTTTCCATTGCTGTGGCAAAGCTTGTAAATAATACACCTGTAGAATTAACAGACAAGAATCACTAATGTTTTTTTAAATTATTCTTCTTTGATTAAAGAAATCTTTCCTCTGCTAAACTCCTTTAGACTGTCAAAACTTAGCTTCCTAAAAGTTAATATTTTTACCATACACATTGAAAAGTTGCTAATAAAATAGTCATTTTTTTAAAAAAGATAATTTTAACTACTGTCTAGTCTCATTTCTTAAATCTCTTCACCTTCTCCTACTTTTTTCCCACAGGCATCCCTGGGCTTTACTAACAGAGAGACAGAGCATACAATGGTACCCAATCCTGTACCATTAACACCCAGGTTTCTTCACAAAGAAAAGAAAGGTGTGAAATCATCAGGAAGTGGTTGACATTTACAAAAGGGGTGGGCAAGGGAGATGGGGAGGAAGGATCAGATAAAAGGCTGACAGATACTCAGTAAACCAAGATCCAAGATGGGTTAACCCTTTGCGGCTCCCAGATAGGAATAAAAGCTGAAACCGCTTCTCACAGCTCTGGTTTGCAAGAAGAGGAGCCAAGTTTTGCAGGAGACTGAATGGATCTATCTTTCCTTCCAATATTACTTTCACTTTTCCTAAGTTCTAGAACTTTATTGTTTGATTTTGTGATTGGGAAGATAACAAAGATATCTAGTATATTAATATATCTTGTATATTAATTGCATTTTTACCCCAGGGGGATTAAAAACTGGCAATTATATATGTGAAAGAAGTATATACAGTTTTCAGGACGGGGTCTTAACATAGTTTGTTTTGCATATCTCTATCCTGCAAACACCAAATATACCAACTTTGACCCCAATTTAAATCATTTTCCTGTTTGCCTGAGGCATCTTATTCCCATTTTTAAATTTAGACCAAAAGTTTACTAATAGATTGACTAGTCTAATCCATTGATTTGTTACATTAGAAACTGGAAACAAACATCTTGACCATTTAACAGTTTTCAATTTTGATTTTCAATCTAAGCGACTGATTAATTTGGATCCTATGATACTGATGATTCTGTAAAGACAGAGGAAAAAGCTGCTATTGGTGAAATGGAATCATAAGCAAAGAAAAATATATTTATTAGATTATATATTTTGTTAGAAGTTCTAAGAATAACTATTCTGCCATTTCTTATTTGTATATATCCAAGAAAGTTACAATAACCTACCTCATGGTCAGAGTGGTAGAAAGGGAAAAGATGTTACTTCCATAATTGACAATATAATAAAAACTGCCTCCAAAAATGATTTCCTAGAAAACAAGTACACTTCAAATCAACAAGAACATAGCCATGAGTATTCACAAACCCTGAGTTGAAAATTTGAAAACAAGGGTTAAATATAGAAGAACGTCTTTTGCATTACAGCAGTGAGTTTAATTTGCTATGACAAACAGTAGCCACAGAACTCTTCCCCTAGGCTAAGCAGCAAGAGCAGGGTGTGAAAAGTCATTATTTGCGAGACTCTGGTGTAAATTAAAAATCACACCTTCCTGTCACACTTTTGGCTTCCTTGTGAAGAGTAGGATGTAGGGAAAAATAAAGAAGTAAAATAAAAAGGAAGAAAACAATTCACTAAAATCCAAGATTAAAAGATACTGACTTGAGGGATAAGGGAAATTTAACAATAAAACCAATACTTGCACTTGAAACCATTTACATATTTTTATTTTGCAGCTTTTAATTTCAATACTACTTCTGGAAAGAAAAAAAAACACTTGTTAGATTATAACCTCATACAAACAAAAAATAAAAATAGTAGGTTTATAGTTTCTCTGAATATTAAGTAAAATAATATCACTGCCTAGGGCAATGCTACATCTTTAGGTAGCAACATTGCAGCTTCTAATATGAATGAAAGATACATATTTTCAACTTCTATACCATGAATGGATAAAGGTTATATTAACTGAGAAAATATCTGGCATCTTTGAGATGCGGAAATATTTTGAAAAGAATACAAAATAGGAGAACAACTATTATCCCTAAATATTTTAAGACTCAATAATAAGAATAAAGAGAATTAATAATAACATTATCTGTAACTGTTCCAGTGAGGACAGTCTCATATGATTAAGTTATAGTTCAATAAAAGAAATGTATATTAAATATTAAAGGGACTCATCAAGCTGAAGCCAATAAGCAAGACTTTAGGTAAAGTGCCCTAATATGAGCTCATTAATTTAATAAATGTGCTAACACTCCAATGAAAGATAATAGAACACCCTGCTGCGAAACTTGGGATCTTAAGGGACAATGTAACACAATCACATAGCAGTATTTTGAAAGAATATATAAGAACATTTTGTCAGATTTCTTCGTTTTTGCATTCAATGTTGTTTTTTTCCTGAAGTTCATAAACTAAGACAACCAAAAGACAAAAAGGACATGGACGGTCCTAGGTCTACATCTGTTTTTGTCCTGGGATAAAGCAGGTCCCATCATGGCTGAACTTAAAAGGACAAACCCTTAGGCTCAAATCTGTGGGCAAAAAAAGAAGGTAAACAGAATTACCAAATTAAGGAAGGTATAGTTTCTGGGCAACTTCATTAGGGAGTAGTTTTGCTAGGATACAGGCAAATTGTTGATGGTAATGCAGTAGAGTGAACATCTCATCCGCCTGGGGCTGATGATCATCTTAACCATCACCAGACCAAGAGGACTGAAATAATGCACTTCCTTCAAGCTTATTGCCCTCCAGTCCAGCTGCCTCACATTTCTAATCCTAGCTACATGGGAGGCAAAGAACAGGATATTGCAATGGGAGGGCAGTTGGGGCAGAAAGTTCGTGAGACTCCTTTTTAAGCAATAGGGGGGTGGAAGTCATGGTGTCATATATCTGTGATGTATCCATCATCTCAGCTCTGAGGCAAACTCAATGGCAAGGCACACTGGTGCATGCTTGTCATCCCCAGTGACACAAAGAAGCACCAGTAAGAGAGTAAAGTCCAGGCCAGCCTCAAGCATTTATTTGAGATTCTACTTCAAAAATAACCAACACAAAAAGGGCTGGAGGCATGGCTCAAGTGGTAGAGCTCCTGCCTTGCAAGTGGAAGGCCCTAAATTCAATCCCAATTCCTCTATCCTTTCTCCAAAAAAGATATTTACTGTCCAGATAGCCCAGAGTTAGATAAATGATGAGACACTAAAGAAGCTAGAAAACTTACCACCAAGGAACAACACACTAGAGTGACAGGATGCTTGAAAATAAGGTTAGCCAAAGAAAGAGGTGATGTGTTCTCTTATACATTGCTAGGGGGAATATAACTCGATATAGCTTTTCTGTCATGTCATTTCTATCTATGTTATTTATAGCTGAAGATCTTGAACTTTCCAGAGATAAGTTATCTAATATTCCATAGCTCATGCACAAAAACAATCTGAATTCCAATCTAACCAGCTGAAAATATTCTGATTATAAAGGTGATGTAGAAAGGGGTTACAATTGCATGTCATATAACAAATACATTTCTTTTTAGACAATATCACTCCTTCCCTTGTTGCCTACCATTTTTTCCCTCTCATCCCCAGACAATGGGGACGCGTAGTGTCTAGTGAGTCCCACTGCTGCATATGTTCAACCTTTGTCCCTCCATTTATGTGACCCCCTTACCCTCCCAAGGACAGATAACTGAACAAACAAGACACAAAGAAAAGAAAAGAGAAAACCAAAGAAAACACCTCTTATTTCCATTTCCTGGAGCTCATTTCGACAAATAATGTCCATGTCCAAACTTTCTGAATGTTCTTACCCATCAACCTTCTTCTAATAATATTTCTAATACCTAAGGACATAAAAGTGAATGTAAGTCTGCATGCTGTAGCAATCATTTCAATGGTAATTAAATTTCAGTCTAATGCAAACCAGAAGCCTTCATCTAGGATGACAACTGTGTCTTTTTGGAGTCTGCGTGCTGTGTTCTACAGTACTAGCAGGCCTTCAGAGATTACCGAGTTAAAATTGCAAGCACAGATGCATTTACAATTACTGTGTGAATATGCTTTGAAGGCAATTCTATTAATGTGGTGTAAACAGAAAGACTCCTGGGTGCCTCCAATTGGTGGACAGTATTAAGAACCAGATCAACCTTGAAGCTGCAGTGATAGCCTGTCCCCCATACTCAGAGACTTTAAGCAACCTCACTTATTCAGCCCAGCATGCATTACAATTTTTTTCTCCTGCAATCAACAGAATGGGATCTGCAGGTTGAGAAATGAGCAGACCAGGTTGGGAATACTTCAGCAATGAAAGTAAGTGTGCAGGTATCTTTATTGTATCCTGACTTGAAATCTTTTTGGCAAATGCTCAAGAGTCATATCAAAAATCAAGGAAAAGAAAAAAGAAAAGAGCTGGGTGTCACCTAGAAATTCAGATGGCTGATATATGAGGCTTGTGGTTTTAAGCCAGCCCAGGAAGGAAAATCCATGAGATGCTTGTCTCCAGTTCAGCACACACACAAAAAAAGCCATAAGTGGAGCTGTGGCTCAAGTACAAGAGTTCTAGGCTTGAGAAAAGAAGTTCCAAGACAGTGCCCAGGCCCTGAGTTTCAAGCCTCAGAACCAACCCCTCCACACATATACAAGAGAACTATAGTTTGCTGAATATAGATGTAAATTTCCTAAATAAAATGCTTACTCATCAAATTCAACAGCTACTAAAAAATTCATACATCATGACCAAGTTGGCTTCATCTCAGGTATGCAAGCCTGGCTCAGCACATGTAAATAAATAAATTCAATACAGCACATAAATAGAAGCAAGGTCACGAACAGCATGATCATCTCAGTAGGTGGGGAGAAAGCCTTTGACAAAATTAAACACCCTATTATGATTAAAGCTCTGGAAAAGCTTAGGAATAAAAGGAAAAAGAATCATATTTAATATAATAAAGTCTTTATAGCCAACATCATGATGAAAGAATAAAACCATTTCTTCTAAAAGATCAAGATAAGAATATTCATTTCTTCTA